ACATCTTCAACTAGATCAGGTTGCTCAGAGCCCCGTCCAGCCTGACCTTGAATGTTTCCAGGGATGGGGCTTCTACCACCTCTCTGGGCAACCTGTGCCAGTGTTTCACCACCTGCTTTTGTAAAAAATGTCTTCCTTATATCTAGTCTAAATCTACCCTCATTTAGTTTAAAACCATTATCCCTTGTCCTATCACTACAAGCCCCGCTAAAAAGTTTGTCTCCATCTTTCTTTTAGGCCCCCTTTAAGTACTGAAAGGCTGAAACTCAGTGATGCTCTGTTGTTTTCAAAGTTGTTAATTCCAGAGAATGTCCCTGTCAGCAGAACCTGCTCCATTGTTGCAAACCGCCATGTTTCACAAAATGCTAAGCCACCTTTTCAGGAGCATTTTTCTGCCATCATTTCATCTGGTTCTTTACGTGAAAGCTCAAGCGCTCATGCTGGAAGGACGTTTAGCTTTGCACTTTGTTGGTTATCAACAATTCCATATTTCTACATGCCACTTCCATCTAGTCTGTCCTTCCTGAGAGAGAACTTCTTCACTAATAGGATATTTTTGGAAAATGAACTATCTCTAGATCTAAGTTTTCTGTAAACAATCTCAAATCTTTTTCAGGTACAGTCTAAAATCCGTCAGATACTAAATGAAAATACATTTGAAAGGAAAACTTCACTAGGTAGTTCAGACAACAGTCTGATGACTTGCACACCAAGGGATGCATCTCCGGTATGTTTAACACTTTTTACCTACAAATCAGTTATTCTTTAGCTGGACTCTGGGTTTTGAGAGTGATGTCTTTTTTGGAAAAAAACCCAAGGGCTATTGTGGATTTAAAAAAAAAACCAAAGCGCTATCTTCTCCCTGAGATTTTTCTGGATAGCAGAACTTCAGCCATAATCCCATATACTATTCCCTTTCACCCATTACGATTAAAACTCAGTTTCTCTTATGCACAGGAAAAACTAAATCAGAAGGTCAGCAAAATCAAAGTTGCCCCTGAATATGACAGCAAAACTGAAGCATTGCAAACGTCCCTGAAAAATTATGAGGATTTGCAAAAAACAGTCCATGATCTTCCGCATGAAAATTTAGCTCACAAGAATGAAGTGGAACATCTTACTGTCACCATACAGTCTTTGAAAGAAAAAATATCAAAATGTAATGCACGAATTAAGGGTTTAACTGAAGAGAAGAGAAGTGTGCAAATCCAGTTGGTTAAATCACAAGAAGATAATAAGGAATGTATTAGGGAAACAGAGAAAATCTTAAGAAAATGCAAAGAACTCCAAAACCAGAAAAAAATCCTTGAGGAAGAGAGGAATCAACTTCGTGATGGAAACCAACATTCAGTACAGACACAACATGATTTTCAAATTAGGAACCAGAAAGTAGAAGAAATGATGACTGCTGCTACCTGTGAAAGAGTGAGGGCCAGTGACATCCTAGAGCTCTTGGAAAAGCAATGCTTCAAGTTACAAGAAACAAATAAGAAATTTAGGATAGAAATATCCAAGGTTACAAAAGTAAATAATTTCCTAGAGCAAGTGTTTGGAAAAAAGTCAGAGTGAAATTTAACAAATACAGGAAGAAGAAACCACAGAGAAAAAAACTTCATCTTCAGTTAATGCAAAGACTGGAAGCCAAAAAACTTAACCTTGAAATGACCCTGCAAGAATGTTCTGATACTAAACAGATGCTGCAGAAGGACTTTGAGAAACTCCAATCAGATCAAGCTTACACAGAAAAGAAACTCATGACTGAACTCAGAAATGCAAAAGCAGATATTGATCTTTTACTTGACCACTGCAAACAGAATGCAAGAGGTTATCAACAGCAGTAACAAATGTCACAGAGTAAAGTCAGTTACTGAAGAAAGAACTGCAGGAATATAGACAAGTCACTTCTGAATATGAAAATGACCATAGAAAATGGACTGAAGAACACTTATGATTAGAATATCTCCTGTGGACTACTGAAAATGAGAGATGTATTACAGTGTGAATTCCACCATTTGCATAGGGATTATATTGATCTCTGATGCCAAGCTACAGCTCTAGCCTGTGGGCAAAGGAAACCTGGTCACAGTTCTAGTACCACGCAATGTAACTGTTACTCTGAATATTCTTCTAGAATGTGTACAGAAATTTCTGTTCTAAGTATAAAGCCTTGGAATATGATTCACAATGTATGAGCTTTATTTTGCAATATCTTATTAGCTGATTTTCTTTTCCAGGCCATTTCAGATAATCTGCAACAGTGTGTTGTTTCAAATAAATTGTAACAAACCCTTTTCTCCTGTAGAAGATTTACAGTTCTGATGGCCGGTCATTTCCACATTTTTGTTATGTTCTAAAAAGAGCTGCCTGTTTTTTTGATACTTGGCTGAATTTCAGAGATTCACAAAAGCAGACCCTTACACAATGTAAGTAGTATAAAGAAATTTAATGAAACTGTGACAGTTTACAGGAGATAGAATTCTGTCCCTAAGATTTCAGAGTCAGAAGGGACTCTTAACGACCTTTTAGCTGAACACCTTAGTATGCCCCACAACATTTCACTGGTTATTTCTGTAAAGTCCTAAATTAATCTATGTTTCCTTATGTTTTAGGTGACATCTAATTCTGGTCTATGTTTAATCAACACGAGGCACCCTCTATCTCTTTATACCAGATGCCAACTTAGAAAGTTTATTGTTTAAAACATGAATTTTAACACTTTCAGTGTAAACATGTTTGGAGAACATGGTCATAGCTATGAAAAGCACAAAAAATATCCTCTTGAATAGAATCACTGCACAAATACTCCGATTTTCTCAGCCAGGGGACCATGGGAAGGAAGAATGTATTACTGTGAATTTGAAGCTGACGGTATGCAGTGTCTCTACAACCCTACTAGGGCTATTTTTTCAGGAACTTCTTTTTTTACTCACTCTTTAATAAATAAATATGTGAAAGTAAAACAATGTAATTAGTTATTCATGTTTCCAGAACAGACTTCACTTTCCTATTAGTACAACACTTCATGTACAAGCTCCTAAAGGGTATGATCTCTTCAGAGACATAAAAGTAATCCATTTCTTTCTATTTCTCCAGTAATTCCTAAAGATTGATTGCAGAAAATTAACAATTGTTTATCTGGTTTGTAATACTAGACTATAAATGTGACAGAGCGTGTTTTTGTATCATGAATGATACCTATATTAGAATAACTGAAAGATCTAGGTCTAGTTCTTAAAACTTTTCCCTGTAAAAAATGGTTAAAAGATACAGAAGGGTTCATTGTGGTTTTTTACTGGAGATGGGCAAAGGTATTATGCCACAGTTCTGCACTGCACACCCAAAGTCACTAAGGACATTAAAATGGTCAGTACTTGGGCTATCGAGTAGATGGTCAGGTGTTTAATTGCATTTAACACTTGCATAAACAAGAAGTTGCTTCAGATTGTAACTATGAATCGTGATCAGAATCAGTTATAAAGGTGACTGGCTGTATCTGTACTGTAAGTATGTAGGGAAGCTGTTGTTATGAAAACAATGTAAGTAATGTCTAATGTCCTCCTTACCTTAGATAACTGGGTAATGAAATTTAAGAAAGATCTAAATTCCACCATCTCGATCAGAGGTACTGCCAAGAAGCCAAGGGACACGGTTATTATTTGTATTAAAACAGCATACTGAGGCCTTAGCTAGGTGTCAGCTCCTTGGGACCAGGCATTTTCTGGTGGGGACTTACCAGGAGAAGTTATTGGCTCGCATGATGTCCACATGAGGCTACTCCACACACACTAACATCTCAAACAATTTGGATTGATTTTGCTTTTTAAGTTAAGCTCCATACATTTTAATCAGCTTTCAGTATTTCCATCTTGTTAGTGAATGAAAAGATTATTGAAAGACAGAAGATAGAAGAGGAAGAATTGCAAAAAGTGAGGAGACAGAAGGAAAACCTTCCAAGCAGTCTTCATCAGCTGTACTACATCAGAACAGCAGCTAGGAGGAAGTACAGCACAGTTCAATCTACCTAGGAATGCTGTGTCTTCACAAGTGAACAACTTGGCAAATGCTCCTCGTATTCTGTAGAAAGATGCCACTGAGGTAGCTGAGGTCAGCAGCAGTGCCATTACACAAGGCAAGGTTTAAACAAAGCAAGAAGGAATTCTGTTACAGGTCTTTGGATAGAGAAAATATCAAAATTCTTGCATGAATATTTTAAAACATTGCTGGGTGCTGTTGACTTCAAGGTAAGGGGTTTTATGCTTCAACACACACTGGAAGACCTGACCAACAATTCTTGGGTTTATTTTTCTTTTCATTGATGCCAGGAAATGTGAGATCCAGTTGGGAATTTCTTTAAAAAATATCCTGTGAACAGCAGTAATGATACCATTTAATGGATATTCTACAGTAGTATGATAAATTTTTAATAAAAATTAATACTGAAATTTTGTCTTAATGTAATTATTAGGATAAATAAATGCTGAGTATTTTTTAAATTTTTATAATAAATTAGCTTTGATTTACATGAACAAATTTCTTTGACCACATATCAAAACCTGACAAAAATTTTTAAGATGGAGGTAAGGTGTACATTTAGGATCACAGTTCCATCTGAGAAGCAGCTCGTTTGAGGTTTGTTAGGAACCTTCCATGTACACAAAATGGAATTAAGCTGCTCTTGGAGAACACGGCAGCACTTAACGGTTGTCAGGAAACTGAGGAAGAGTGGTAAATAGATGCTGGTAAACAGAGATGACTCCCTTCATAACGGCCTGCTTGTGGCCTGGTTTTGAACAATGCTTGATAATGGTCATTTTGAGAAGGTAATCAAAACTAAAAATTACATATTTTTAAGACAGTTCTTACACAAAATTATAGTTGAAATAAAGTACTGACAGGAAACTGACCTTAGTTTCACTGTGAGCCACACATGACTAACTTGGTTAATACACACACTGATTCTCACTTCATAAATATCCACCTCCTTCTACTGCAGTATATAGTCCATTTGCAACCCAAATTACTCATTAGCAAGTATGTTTTCTAAAAGTACATTTCAAAAGTCCAGTTAAGCAATAAGATGAAAATTTATATAAAAATACAACTTTGGATTTAATAAATAAATGATTTTAAATTATTTATTATAGCTTTTTATTTTGAAACCATAGATCACATTAAACAGGTTAGATTGCCCTATATACTTGAATTCCACTTTTCACATTTCCATTTGCTTTAACAGATTAGAGTCTAAAAAGTGTACCCTTCATTTCACCTTTTGTACCTAATAAGATGTCAGCTGTGCAGTCTTGTAGTTCTTTGTATTTAATGATCTGAAATGCAAATGAAGATAAACTTCTTACATTTTTGAAGAATATCATTGTACAAATTACAAGAGTTTTTGTAAAAATGAAAAACTGTGGTACACCCAGTCCTGTAATTAGATTTAATGACTTGCATCCTCGTGAAGTCAGATTGATTTCAATAGAGCTCTGCATGAGAGCAAGAATCTACACTAGCAAATCCAATTATAGGATTATGGTCCAAATATCAGAAGATAAGTTTTCCATTGGCATGTACATAAAGAACCCTAATTCAGTGGGGAAGCAGATGATTGGAAAAATGTCTTACCACATTCCTTAAAATCTATGAGTTATGAGCTTCATAGTTACAATAAATTCAGATCACCATTTTCAGTCTATTAAACCTAGGAATAATGAACTGAAAATAAATACATTCTTTCAAATTTGTAGGAGGGAAATAGTAGTAGAGAATTTGAAATACTAGTTTTACTTTCTGTGGAATTTCTGTTGGGTATGCAAAATTTTTCTCTTTAGAAATATTTTTAATGGGTCCATCATAACCGTACCTGTGAGCACACAGTGATACATCACAATTAGTTCCTCCCCTTACAATTTTGGTTAGGTTTTTTTCCTAATAAAAACATTTCATTCAAGAACATGAATTTTTATGCTGTTGATAAAACAATAATACAAATAACCACACTGGTAAGAAGGCTCCTCAGACCAATATACCATTCTTTTTCCCTTTTACTAGTTTAAAAACACCAGTGCACAGATGGAAGGTTGTACTTTCTTATATCAGTGTTGATAGGTACCAAGCTTTTTCGTGTACCAAAAAGTTACTTTCAGTTCTTTCTTACTTTCCATTAGAAATGAAAAGCAATGTGGAGTAATATTTAGCTTCTGGTTCTTCATTGTCAGTGTAAATAAAAACTTCAAACTATCCCTGCAACTTAAAAAGTGACTATGCAAATGCCAATTTGGTGGTGAAATGAAGTAAACAGAACAGCAATGGGAGTAAGGGAGGTGTATTTCTTAGACTTCACATATGACTGTAAAAGACAAATCACAGATGTGAAGCAGATTCCTCTAAGACAGTTCCTCAAATTTTAATCAAGTATTTCTAAAATATTACATGTTACTCCTGGAGAATGCAAAATAACCGTTCTACATGCTATTTTAGCAGTCTGCATTTGAAAGTGGTTTCTCTAAATAACCCTAAAGTACACAGTTTTGATTTTCTGCTTGCATTACAACAGAGCCAAAACTAGAAAATACATTTGTTTAAATATAAGGGTTATAGCTTAGTAAGATAAAAAAGTAAAGAATTATGTGCTTATCTACCTATATACATGCACTGTGTACTATAGATCCAGCACTGCACAGTGACATGTTTGTAGTCAAGAATCCAATTTGCGTGCCATTGTTTCAAAAGCTTCGTAGGCTTAGATTAGTTAATATTATGTTTGCCAGCAGAGGGAGCCAATTTTATTCCATAAACATAAGGGAAAACAAAACCAGATTTTGTTTTTAACAGGAACATTCCTGGTCTTTTTACATTTACCAGGTCAGAAAAGAGAAAAAATAGTATTTTTTTCAGTGACATCTGTATAGCATGATTTTGAAGGTCTCTGTGATATGTATAGCCTTATAAAGTAACCTGAATTTACAGAAGAGAGTAGGAATAAATTTTGAAAGCCAAGTTCCTTATGTATTTCTTATCTTTTGTTAATAATTCGTTCCTTAATTTATTCAGTTATTTTAGACAGTAATAAACAGCTGTGCTAATGACTTTTGGTAGACAGCATACATGAAACATGAACTCAAATTAAAGGAGCTTACCTTGTGATGTTTAAAGTTACTATGCTTGTAACAGGTCTGCTTTTTGGCCCAGA